TCCTGTCCCTCCAGGCCCTTCCTGCCCCTCCAGGCCCTTCCTGCCCCTCCAGGCCCTTCCTGCCCCTCCAGGCCCTTCCTGCCCCTCCAGGCCCTTCCTGCCCCTCCAGGCCCTCTACTGGGCCCCGAACTAGCCGGTCCCATGTTTACCCCCCCCCCTGTTTCTCCCTTGCCCACCTGCTTGATGAGCGCCAGCCCCGCCAGGTGGCCGCCCGCCGACTGGCCCACCAACGTGACGCTGTCCGGGTCCCCCCCGAATCGGTGGATGCGGGATAGCACCCAGCTGATGCCGGTGTTGACATCCTCCAACATGTCCAGCGCGTCACCCTGCAAGCGCGGCCCCGCGTTCCCCTTTAATGAGCTCCGGGGATTGGAAATATGGGAGGGAGAGACCCTGACCCGCCCATAGCTTTTCCTGCTCAGCACCCACCCTTCCCTCCTTTCCATTTCATCCCCCCTCGGCACCCTCCCATTCCCTCCCCCCCTACCTGTGGGAAGTTGCGGTAATCCAGACATGCCACCAACACGCCCTGCTCGCTCAGCCGCCGGGCAAGGAGCGCTCCCCAGGCCTTGTAACCAATGGTCCAGGCGCCACCTGGGGGGAAAGCGGCGCACCGATCGCCGGGTGCCGTACGGGATAGGGGTAGGAGGTACGGAATACGGAGTACTGGGATCGATGCCCCCAATTGGGACTTATTAGGAGCACTTGGGGATAATCCCGGGGTCCGAGGAACCCAGGGGGGCAGGAATCATATGAAGGTGATGACGATGAAGGTGATGACGATGAAGGTGATGATGATGAAGGTGGTGATGATGGTGATGATTATAGTCATGATGATAGTGATGATGATGGTTGTTGCGATAAAGGTGATGATGACAATGATGATCATAATGATGATGATGATGATGATGATGATGATGATGATGATGATGATGATGCAAAAGCCAAAGAGGACAACTGCGGCCTAAGTCCGGAAGTGAGGTCGTGGCGCACCTGTGACGTACACAACTACCGGGTAGGTGACGTCATCACGGGCATGCCGGGGGAAGTACAGATCCAGCCGCTGCCGGGGCTGGAACGTATCTCAGGAAGGGGGGGGGCAGCAGCGACGTGGGCGATAGCGATGTGGGCCTAGGAGGGACTAGGACAAGGACATGGTTCTTAGGTCAGGGCCCGCGGACCGAGGAAACCGCAACGGACGAATGCGTGTATGTGTGTATGCGTGTTAATTCCACATCTTGCCGAGCCTGACGCTGAAACAACGCCGGGCCTGAGGCCCAGCCCCAACGAACAAGACAACCGACAAGCACACTCCCTCCCCCCGTGGGGGAAAGGGAGGGGTGGTGAAGGGGGGTGAAGGGAGGGGGGTGAGGGGCCACTGTCCCCTCTCCTGCTCCACACAGAGCCTGAACCGCCGGATACCGTGTAGGGGTATTTGCACAGAGCGGTGTGGGTATACGGAGGAAGAAAGAAAGGAAAGGCCCACAGCCTCAAACGCTATGCTAGGAGACTGCAGCCAGACCGCAACCAGCATCGAAAGATGCTCTCGGCAAGCTGCCCTTCCTGTTCTCCTAATGCAGCGCCCTAATGCTGTGTCCCTGGTGTAAAACCCAGT